CTGATAAAATGCAGTTTACACAAACAGAACATGTACAATTTCAAAGCGCCACCACACCAAAATAAACTTCCCCAAAATGACTGTGAGTCTTAATGTTTACCGTTTTAAGATGAAGATGAACAATGAGGAGACTGAGATAAAATGGCAATTATTATTTATTACAAACCTATCCATAAAATTGACAGCAATCTACTTTGATTGCAGGCAGCTTTAATGAACTGACAGCATTATTTCTTCATACATTCCTTTTTGGCAGGTATACTGTACCCTATCCACACGTTCATCAGATCACCCGAGATATATTAGGATCTAGGAAGGGATGTATTGATATATATATATTAAATTTTTTTAATTTAAAAACATTTACAATAATTAAGGAATAAAATATATACTTAACAATAAATAACGTCAAAGATGTTGGATCCTCATATGTTGTGGGAATACGTCACAGGGAAGAAGATAAATCTCTTGTGATTAAATATGTGGCCCAATGCCTGTCTATATTGTCAGCCTATTTGGCTCTTGGACAAATTGGTCAAGTCAAATAACTTCGCTTGGAGAACTTATCATGAAATATGTTGCAGACGGCCGACTAAATTGATCTCAGACTAGCTGAGTTGATGAACTGAATTGATAGGTCAAAATGCTTGACTGTGCTGTCTGGTTGAACTATATGACCAAATTGTTTGGCCAATCTATCCATATAGGTTGTGCTGAATTAGCTAATTGAATCGGCTGGTTGGCTTGCCACTAGACACGAACTCGATCCATAAGATTTTAAGTATACAATAATAAATTAAACCACTAACACTGAAATTGCGATTGTCTTAAGATGAAATAGTGACTATAGTACGTATCAATATTATAATTTGTTTATCTTATCAATTATTTGTGAATCTTATAGCATGCCTACTCTGATATAAACCTACAAGGGCCCTCATCCTGAATTGAACGCCAACAAACATGTGATTATGATAGTCGTAAATTTTTGGGCCGTTTACTTATATACAATCACCTAATTCCTATGTATTTACATATGTAACACGTGACTTTGTTTTTTATATCTATAATTATACCACAAAAATCTTTCATATGAAGAAATATCAGCATTTTTTCTTTTAAAATTAGGTATGTAAATACATAGGAATTAGCTGGTACATATATAAATTTTCCTAAATTTTTGAAAGATTTTGCCTAGCACATTTTGAGTGTTAGAGGCTTTCCAAATCCAAAAAAAATGTTAAGCCCTTTGTGGGGGAGGGGGGGGCTTAGCGTGGTAGCTGGGTAATTTGTTCTTATTTCTCTCCGTGTTATTTTTTATCAACATCCTTTGCAGTTACAATCCATACTCTACCTTTTAGAACAGATAAAGTCATAGGAATCTAGATTTTCACTCCTTTGACCTTAGGTCTACAGAACCACTTGAAATGACACAACACACGAGTTATTGATGAAGTGATTCTTCGCCAAGTTAGGTCAATTACTTTCACGGTTTAGGAGACATAGTCTGGGAGGATATGGAACCCCGACTAAGTTATCTCCACATGTTTAAAATTTTCCCCAACCTACATTATGACTTATCGCTTTCTGGCATTTTTATTTCTTTTAATTTGTCTTTGTGGGCGCGTGTCTTAAGCCCTCTCAGCTAAGAGGCAACTACCCACTAGGTTATAATAATTCACTGTCCGACTGGTGGCCTAGTTTTTCTCTGACAGCTAGAGATTTTTCTTATAGGAAACATAAAAAATCTCTTAAACTACCTACATTCAGGGCTATTTTCTTGGAAACAAATCATCTTTTATCCTAAATTTTTCTAGGTATCCCTTAAATTATAATTGACCACTATGGTACATCATCATGAGAAGTCGCTTTGAACCAATAAACAGACTAAATTTGATTTTGTCTTCTGATTAAGATACAAGGGTCTTCATATAAGGCCTTCATTGTAAAATTTCTCTGGTCGAGTATGATTTGAATTTTTTTTGGACAGTTTTTCTCTGATTTATGCTACAAAAATTGCTTTGTATGAATATCTTCGTATATGAACTTTTTGTTTGACTTTTTCAATGTTTCCCATTGTTGTCTTTTCCTTTCTTGTCCACTCTTTATGGGTAGAAACCTTTTGAAAAAGAAGGTTTGAAATTCATATATGGAGCAAAGTTTCCCCACCAAAAAAAAAAAAAAAACACAAATACTAATCATATACAATCAATTGATCATTACGTCTAAGCCTATTCTTTGTGAGGAGCATTACAATGTAGTTTACCGGATTATCGAGTAGCTACTTGTGTGGAATAAAAGTTGAATGCTTGTAATTTGGGAGGACAAATGAAGTTTTCAGCTATATTGAGTTAGAAATAGTTGGAGATTTTGATTTGAGTAGATCATTTATAGGGTATGTGTTTATTGTTTATAGCTGAACCATTTGTTAGAAGACTACATTGATTGCATTGACATTATTTAATAACTAAAATTGAATAAATGAAATTACTAAAACTTGTTAAAAATTTATTTTATTGAAAAATTATTTGAAGGATTATGAAAACTTAAATATTATCACAATAATATGTAATAATATGAGTGCTATTTGTTTCACCAAAGATTAGATATTTTATAATAGAACCAAACACAATTATTTTTGTTATCACTTCATTATTAAAGTTAATGCTCATATCACTTTGAGCAAAATAAGTACTTATGATAGACTTATCGATTTGATGACTAAGAAACTCATATTCCCAAATTTTGAAAATTGCTTAGACTTGGTTGATATTCATTACTGATCCTGAAAAAGTTTGTGAAAGATATTTGCAGAAGGTTTAAGTTTTTTTTCTTTACATTTTTATTTTGAGAATTCATTTTAAATGCAGAGATTGTTAATTGTGATTAGAGTTGTAAATGAACCAATGCACTTGATGAATGACTCAAACTTAACTTGATTAACATTCAATCATATTTATTTAAACTAATAAATAAACTAATAAATAAACAAATTGAAAATTTTTTTCTTATACTCAATAGTTAAATTAATGAAATTTAAACATAATACAACTCATTTATTAATGCTCATGAACATTGTCATTTCTTGTTCAACAAATAATATATTCAATGCTCTTTAATTATATGATATATTATTCAAATAAAATATGATTAATTAGAACTTATTTATCTATATTTTAAGAATAACATATAGATTATAATTTAATATCAATATTTATATAGGTTTAATGCAATTTTTAATTATTTATTTATTTCAATGGACTAATTTATTTGAAAAATTATTTATGTTTTTTAATTGCTTGAAATTTTTCTTACAATCTATATATATTTTTTATTTACATAATATAAACTAATTAGATGTTAATTTAAAATTTATTTAATTTTTTATTTATTTAGATCATTAAAATTATTTGTTAATAGCTTTATATAAAAAATCAAGTACTAATTCATTTTTTTTTGCTTATTCACTACCTTTATATGCAAAGTCAAGGACAAATTAAATTATTAATTTTATATGAAAAATCATGTAATTATTCTAAATTTTAGCTTGTTCAACTAATATAAACAAAGCCAAATACAATCATCTATAATCATTAAAATAAATTAAGCAAGCACAATATGAATATATATGTGAAAGTTTGACTCAAATTCATACTAAACATGAATAACCTATTATTCGACCAACCCGAGTCCAATCCATGATACAAACAACTTGACTCAGCTTGATTATAATCATGTATATATATAAACTGGCACTACAAAGACATGCACCCGCACATGTTTAATTTTGTGGGTATCCTGTTATTTGAGCCATCACACTAATTCTCTACTACTAATTACTACTACTACTCTTAAATGGACTGAATTTTCTTCTACTCCCCCCATGTTTATCCTAATCTTTTCATATAAATGTGATGTAGAAAATCAAGCTAGAAGACAAATGAAGTAAAATCCTTCCCGGTGTCACTTCTGCTTCAGTAACTTTAATTGACAAGAGCTTAAAATATTATATTCTCAAGGATTTCTTTGGTAGAAATTCACCCAAACGATAAGATACAAAAGTGTTGGATTTATGAATTTACTAAATCCAGTTTTACCGTTGATTCATCCTGAATCCCACTTTAACTAACTATTACGAAAACACAAGGTAAAATGGTAATATAAAAAACTAAATTTCAAGACATTATCTCCCAGTATCTCAGAATTGACCGTTGTCAGTTTTTCCCTTGGACCGATGTAGTCTGTGGCAGGCTGTAGATGAGGGTTAACTCAGAAATCCAATCCACGTCGCAACCTAATTCTGGATGCTAAAACTGAGCCAAAAAATGTAGACTGAAACGTGGTCCCTCTGCCACTGAGGTGCTTACATAACACTTACAATTCTGACAAGTCAAGCCCCTTCAACGAAAAGAAGAAAAAAACAATCCAAAATAAACCTTCTTTATGGTTACTCCTGCTGCGAATTCAGAAGCATTTATATAGTTTTTACATTTTAGGTAAGTGTTCTTAAAAGCTAATGATTAAATGGGCCAACCACATGTGGTTGGGTCTTTCTAGTTCTTGTGGTGGGGGATCCTCTATGCTGCAACTTGGATTTTTATCACCCAAACGCAATAAGTATAGAAGCTTTATCTCCCTGTCAGAATAATTGATAAAGATTTCAGCATCTCATATGGCACTATCATGCTCCCCTTTACCCTTTTACATTCAATTCCCTGACAAAAAATAATTGTGTGCCCAGTCTGCAAACTAGATTTAACCACTTTTGTCACATAAAATCTCTGTTGATTCCAGCTTACTTTATATGAATTAAGGAAGCAGAGCAGTCCTTAGATTCCAGTCTTCAGAAAAAGCTGGAGAAAGAGGAACGGTAGCAAGTACTGAAACGTTAGCACTAATGACTATAGTATACTACAGAAACTACACTTTTGTTTCATTGAATTGAATTGCAATCGTTTCAACATTCAAAAGTGAATTTTCAAAAACATCAAAATTGGCTCCTTTTGAGTGAGGACTCTATGTTTAAATTTACAGTCACACAAATCAGTTTCTTAGCAAAAGAATCATGGTTCAGGGAGGAAATTAGTCAGTATGAGAAATCAGAAGCTTAAGACTGTGAGATGGATCTCCGATAGCATGATCCTTGCATCTTCTGCTGCCCAGTTTCCTCTTTCCACACTTTGCCAATTTCTTCTGCAACTCTAACTGCATCAAAAGATGCACCTGAGATCCCCCTCTTTGTGAAGCCAACAGCATAGAGCCCAGATTCCCCTCTCCAGCTGTTGGGAAACGGGTTCTTTGGGAAACCACCGTTTGAGAAGAAATCAGTCCCCTGCAATTGTTTTATCCCGAAACAGTTCAGTTTAGTACTTCTAATTATGAGCGAAGCACGAAAAGAGTTAATTTTTTTTTTTTTATCTAGAAAATTTACCTGCAGCCATGAAGGAACATTGCTACTGTATCCAGTGGCCAATATAACTGAGTCGACATCGAGTATTCGGTCATCAACAAGCTGTGCTTTTCCAGGCAGGAACCTTCTCACTCCAGGAACAACCTTTATTTCGCCTGACTTGATCTTTTCAAGTGCACCAATATCCAAAACTGGCGTTTTTCCGCGAGTGTTTTTGAGCTCCAAGGGACCTGTAGATGGCCTCTTCAAGCCATACTTCTCAACGTTACCAAGCACCAGACATGAGATGATCAACACTATTCTGTCAACCAGCCACAGAGGCAACCATTTCATCAAACAAACCGCCACCTCAAATATGGATTTCCCAAATACTTCTCTTGGCAAAACATGAACCTGCACAAAATCAACAAGCAGGTTGACTCTTTCAGAAAAAAAACTCGTATTGCTGAGAAAAAAAAAATACTTATTTTGGTGTATAAGATGGTTCATCATTAGCTATAACAATTTCTTCCTGAATTGCAAGACAGACATTATTTTGTGCAAAGAACAATTAATAAAGTCAAAAAATAATAAATTGTCTGATCAATGGCAAGCTAATGAATATATGCCTTGTATCTTAAATTAAAATTATATAAAGATCTTAAATGCCACGCCTTGCGTTATTTTTTTGAGCTGTTCATGTATTTTTCTCACCAACAATATGCACAACACGCAGCACAAGTCTTAATACTTCACGAACTAATTTAGAAAAAAAAACATTTATTTTAATTTAAGAAAACCACAAGAATCAACTGATTCTCACCGAGTCACGAACCACTATTGACGGGAATGCATTATGGTCACAGAGATCTAGAGAAACCTCCATGCCGGAATTCCCACATCCAACAACAAGCACACGTTTCCCAGCATACTCCTTCCCAGACTTGTAATCACACACGTGCGAAACTCCATCACCAAACTCCAAAATCCCTTCTATGGCCGGAATCACCTTCTCTGCATTCTCGCCGGAGGACGCCACCAACCACCGCCCCATATACTCCACCTCACCATGCGCACACGCGGTTCTCACGCGCCACAAACCACAAGTCTCATCATACCTAGCTGACGTCACTTCTTCATTAAACCTCGGACAGATATCGAAGTAGCGGGCGTAGGACTCCAAGTAGTCGATGAATTGCTTCTTGTTGGGGTACTTTGGGTAGTGTTTGGGGAAGGGGAAGCGTGGGAGCTCGCAAAACTTTCTTGGGAGGTGGAGGTTCAAGCGGTCGTAGGTGCGGCGTTGCCATAAGGAGGCAATGCAGTCGTCGCGTTCGAGGATGACAAAGGGGACTCCTTTGTGTTTGAGGCAGGCGGCGGTTGCGAGGCCTGATGGCCCGGCGCCGACGATGATGGGTCCGTTTACCCAAACGCATCGAATGGGTAGGAAGTGGGAGTTGGTGGGGGATTGAGGCATGATGAAGGTGGAGTTTTTGAAGGGGTTTGGGAGCGAGTGTGAAGGAGAGGTTGAGAGAGAGAAGGGATTGCTTTGCTTGCGTCACAGTTGCAGTTTGGGTTTGGGAGCGAGTGTGAAGGAGAGGTTGAGAGGGAGAGAGAAGGGATTGCCTTGCTTGCGTCACAGTTGCAGTAGTTGCAGTTTGCGGTTGCAGAAGGATGGGAGGGTGGAGGGGAGAGTTAAATAGGGGGGTGGGTCTTCCATGTGGTGTTGTGGGAGTTGGTGCGTCGGGTCCTCCCTCAAATGATTTACTTTGCGCCACCTCTCCGAAGCAATTTACGATCTGTATGGGGGCACCTACGGCTCTTTGCAGTTGCTGGAGAAAGTTATTTAGGGTATATTTGGGAGAATTACTGTTTGTTCGAATGAGTTGTTTATTTAAAAATATTGGCCACGACCCACATCCACGTTTAGTGTTTTTCATATAAGCTGCTGAAACTCAAATCTCTGAACAGTTTGAAAATGTCGTCGCAGCGGATGATTTGCTCCAAATGGAGCTCTAAAAAACAGCGATAATTTTATAAAAGTTTTTTTTTTGAAAAAGTTAGATCGTAGCTTTCTAATAGCCACCTTTGATAGCCAGGTACAGTGAGAAAATATAACTTTTAACTACAACTTTTTTAGAATGCAGACGAAATACAATTTTACAAAATGGAAAAAATTGTGATGCAGCATCATACCGCCATCGCACCGCGGCTCCAGACGCACTCTATTTCGAATGACTTTAGATGAGCATGATGTTTAAATTTGTGAATATAAATGTGCTCTTTCATTGGAATGGTAAACTAATTTTTTTTTCTTCAAAAAAAAAAAAACAAAAAACCAATATGAAATTCACAACTTAAAAAAATACATATTATATTTATACACATAAATAAAATATTTAGAGTAATTATAAAGTATAGGGCATCAGTCAATTACAAAAATATTGTTTGTTGATCATTAGTTTTTAGACTAGAAACTAGTTGCCAATGATCACTAAATTGAAACATTTACTCTTATTTGAAATGAGAAATAAGAAACGACTAGAAATAAAATTTTTGATCAATCTTGAAACTCATCTGACACTCACTCACAAGTCCACAACCAATAATTTGTCGGTGCAGTTTTTAGGCTCTCGATATACTCCCCCTCACTTGCCTTCTCATCCTTTTCATTTTTCATCAATCATTTCTGTGGAAGCCCCTATTTCTCAAACAATGTGGTTGTACCTCCTAACAAGTTTCATTGTCCTCAGCTCAATGTCTCCAACTACCACACCTCTTCTCAAGGAATTTGGTTAACTTCAGAAGTTTTAAATCTCTCTCTCTCTCTCTCTCTCTCTCTCTCTCTCTCTCTCTCTCTCTCTCTCTCTCTCTCTCTCTCTCTCTCTCTCTCTCTCTCTCTCTCTCTCTCTCTCTCTCTCTCTCTCTCTCGTGCAACTGATGAAGTCATTCATCGATAAACTTGTTTTGGAGAACTTATCTAAAGTGTCAATTTATCTCAGGTACGGCATTTATGAGAAATAGTAACCAAATGAAGACGTTAACGAGATTATGTTAATTAAAGTATCCACACTATAAGAAGACAATAAAGATAGAATATATATCTCTTTGGATTCAGGAGGTCATGATTACATTGTTAAAAACTTTTAACTACGAACTAACCTATCTTCAAATCTGGGGGACCAATACATAAAGGGGGATCAATCCCCTAAAATTGTGCAGGAGTTATCTTCGATTGAATCCCATCTCAATTATCAGGAGCGGTATTCTCAAATATATATATACCCAAGAAAGGAGTTAGAAAGAAGGATGAGAACCTGTATCCTTCTTTCTAACTCCTTTCTTGGGTATATATATATTTGAGAATACCGCTCCTGATAATTGAGATGGGATTCAATCGAAGATAACTCCTGCACAATTTTAGGGGATTGATCCCCCTTTATGTATTGGTCCCCCAGATATATATATATATATAATCTGATGGTATTTGAGAATACCGCTCCGCAAAGGCCACTCAAATGTTTCATAAATACATTTACAAAATAATTATTTTTGTATTACTAAATTTTAATGTGAATTATGACCAACATAATTAAGACTCATCACAAGCTACTATTAAATCGACATTAACATGCCCTTGCCCTCGTCAATCATTGACAACTTTGATGATGATTACTACTAGAAAAGTCTTAAATCATAGCTTTGAAGATATGACAATTGCTCAAATATGCTATGATGAACGCATTAGTGACATTGAATTAGCATTTTAATGAATGGATTCAATAGAAATTTGTATTATATCTTTTTTTTTTTTATGTTTAGATATGACTTGCAATCATGCATGGATGTACTGCCGTTTAGATAGCCATAGTCATTTAACAAATTGTTTTTTTAGTGATGTGATGACTTTATCAATTTTTTTTTTCTCATGAAGCGAAAGTATATCATTAAAATAAAATTAAATCTATCGTTATAAGAAAAAATCCACTAAAAAATTAATCAATATGTTATATCCAAAGTGTTGAGAAAAGTAGGGCGAATAAAAACAGTAACGACACAAATTCAGAAGAACACAGAGATTTAACGAGGTTCGACAAAGATGCCTACGTCCTTTCAATAATCAGAAAAGGAGTTACAGAATTCAAGGATACTTCCTGGGGTTACTAACAGACCTATTTATAACCCCTAGGAGTAAATCTAGGCACAATATATAATTACAACATTACCCCTGTACCATACCGCGTGGCTTTGCCCCCGCACCCCAACCCACGTAACTTCCCAATTTGGACAGATTCTTCCGCTCCGCTCCGCTCTGCTCCGCTTCGATCCAGCGTCTGTCCCGATATGGTATATGAGCCATACCATAACAAATCTCCACCTTGGCGAATATCCAGCCCCTTAGGAGAAAAAATACATGGGAGTTACACCTGCACCACCGTGGGTTGGGCCACCATGCTTCTTTAGCAACTGCAAACATTCAACAAGTCCAAGCAATGCAAGAACTTGTTGATAGTAACTG